TCTAAGCATAACACTGTAAGATAGAGGCTCCCAGCCCACATCAGTAACCTGGACACAGGATTGCCAGGATTTACAGCTCCAAACCACCAAACGAGGCCCGTTTTAATTAACTCACAGACTGTCAGCCTTCCAACAGGCTTTACATTAAGTGAAAACATGAACCAAGAGATTTACAGAATCCTCTAAATAATTGGTGAATGTTGGGAGTTTTTTCTTTCACATAAGACTCCTCAAAATCTGTGCAGGTTAGGAGTGGTCTTCAATTATGTTCACATAAACAAAGTTTTATATTAATATATTTAATATCTTATTAACATGTATATATTTATATACTTATGATATATAGATATAGATAATACAATACATGTATACATTTAATATTTTATATTTCTATTTAATATTTATATTTAGTATTTTACATAATGTATTGATATATTTAATGTTATATTAATATATACAAAACATATATTCAGCATAATCTATTAGGATCTTTGGTACCTACTGAAAAAAGGCAAGCAGTTATCCGATTTTATTAAAACTTCATATTGCATCTGTGTTTAAACTAAGGATTAAAAACTCTCCATTTATACTTATTCTTTTTTTTTTTAAAGATTTTATTTATTTATTTATTTGAGAGAGAGAGAATGAGAGACAGAGAGCACCAGAGGGAAGAGGGTCAGAGGGAGAAGCAGACCCCCCGCCAAGCAGGGAGCCCGATGTGGGACTCGATCCCGGGACTCCAGGATCACGACCTGAGCCGAAGGCAGTTGCTTAACCAACTGAGCCACCCAGGCGCCCCATTTATACTTATTCTTGAAAATTTCCGTTTACACTTTGTTCTTTCTCAGCCTACAGTTCTAGCAATTTCAATTTCAAAGAACTTACACCTGGACAATACTTTCAAATTCACCGAGACGTTCGGCTTCCTTACTTTACAGAAGAGGAACGCAGAGAAAATGAATTGCTCTGACTCACATACTTAGTTTATAGCAGAGCTGGTATTACAACCTGGGTCTAATTCCCTCGTTTCCTGACTGCTCGGAGCAATAAATGTATTTGGAAAGAACACTGGACTGGCTCTCAGGACATGCAATCCTAGGCCAGCCCTCTAATGAGCTAGCTGTGAGATTCTCCAGATCGATTTCCTTGTATGTGAAATACAGGGACTGAGCTCAGTGACCTCTCTTGTCCACCAGAACTCAATAAATACCTCAGTCTATCTGGCACTGATAAGCTTACACACTTTATTTGTAATCTTGTTATGATTGGTACCTTCTGGCCAGGTGGCCTGACTATGAAATATTCTTGTTTTTATCTAAAAGAAAACGCAGATTTAATCTGAAAACTGTTGTAGAATATAATCCTATTCCACGCGTTCAAAAAAAATATTACAAATACACTCCATTCAAGAACCAAATCCACCATGCACCTGTACCTGGCACTCTGCCTTCACCCCCGAGCCCGTCCTCCCCAGCTCTTGTCATCGGTCCCCTCTAGTGCCAGTAGCCAGACGCCCTCGCTTCCTTGCCCTGGCTGGGGCCCACCACGACTCAGGGGACCCACCCCCATGGCGACAAGTGGCCTGGCACACATACTTGGAAATCTAAAACAACAAAAACAACATTCCTCACTCCTACTGAGTTCCACCCATCTTCCTCCTCTACCATTCTATCAGTTCTGCCTCATGGCAACCGCGAGTTTCTCTGAGTTTCTCCAGCTCCTCACTGTTTGCCCACCCAGAGAAACAGCCAGGGGCCGATCATCAAGCACGCATGGCTCCCTTGCCTCCTGCCCACCCTCCACGGAACCCACCCGACTCCAGTCCGGGGAACTTGTTATCAGTATGTGGGACCGACTTCACATCTCTTCCTTAACACCCTGTGACAGACTTAGCATCCCTAATCCCAGGCAAGGTGCAGGCACTCACCTATCTCGATGTGTGTGGAGATGCCACATGGCGAGCCCCCCGGGCACAGGGAGCCCAGTGTGATCAGCAGCCCAGGCCAGAACCTGCAAAGGGACATGCCCTCGTTACTTGCTGCTCCTCAGTGACACGACGTGCTCAGAACTGCGGTGGCAGGGCCTGAAACCCAGGCCCAGACCCACGGCTTTCCCTCTAAGCAGGTCACTGACCGGGCAACCAAGCCTCATTTCAAAATAATAACACTTCCCAGTCAACTGTTTAACTACTGTTTAACTTCACCAGAACAGCAAACAAACTCCATCTGGGAGAGGGGAAAAAAAAAAAAAAAAAAAGCCATCAACTGAAAAGTGAATGCTCTTAGTGGGGAGCATGGCCACTTTGTGACCCAGGTGTCCCCCAGATTTCTTGTTAAAACAAAATTTGTATGGTCACCTTAGCAAAGTTGTCTCCAGATGTTTTTTGCTTTCTTCAAAAAAGAGAGAGACTCACCTGTCTAGACTGAGGGTCCACATGCTGGACCACCTCGACTCACAAGGGCTGATCCCTCAGGCATCCTTTGCACACCTGTAGCAGGGGCCCCCGAGTCCTCAGCCTCCAAAGCCCAAAGTGCTGGGAGAGCTTTTATGACGATCAGCTGGAGCTGGCTTCTCTTTCAGTATTTGGCAACAGATACTGACACTTGCATGGGATTACACAAGAGCAAGCACTCCTGGTCTCCCCGCTTCCTGCTGTTCTTATGGGGCTTATCTCAAGCCGGTTGCACGGTCAGATTCCTGCACCCCAAGCGAAGACGCTGATTCCACTGGGCAGGAGACATGCGACAGATTTAAGACCAAGAAACAAGGATTCGGAAAATGCTAGGCTCAGAATATACCTGTGAGGAAGTATCTGGTCTGTAGCACTTCATCTAGGGGAAAAAGTCGGTGAAGCTCTTCGGGGAAAAGGTGGTAATCTTACAGCTCAAATTATGCACGTTATAAGTGGAAAGCAAGAAAGGAGATCCTGAAAGAGTGGGAGGAAACTGTACTCGCGCTCAGGGGAGCAAACGGAAGAGAAGAATGGAAGATGGGGTGATTGAGACCCTTAGGTCTCCGCCAAGTTTCCTCTATAACCTTAGCTTAGCCACCTGCAAGCCCCACAGAAGGAAGCCCACAGCTCTCCCCGAATCCGGAGGGCACTGGGCCCCGCTGCTCCTGACGGCTTTTAGGCCAGAGGCCATGAACTTTGGCTAAGGTGCTTTATATACAGAGGCCTAATCTCCCCCTTACTGCAAGTGGGGGAGCAGATGGAGAAGGGTGGGAGTAGAGGTGGGAGAGCCCAGGAGAAGGCCGGGCGAAGAAGAAAGGTTCCAGACTGAGCCATCACCCCCAGCCAGGCTCTGGGAGGCATCGGGCAGCCTAGGAGCTAGACAGGAACCGGAGGCGGAGGGGAACTGTTCCTGCGCTGAAAGGGGGCTTGCAGAGGGCACAAGATAGAGAGAAGGGGCAGCCGGCATCAGGACTTCCCTAGACCTTAGGCACCTTGGCCTTTGTAGGCCCCTTCCTTCCTAAAAATAAAAAAAAATAAGATTTTACATCTCTGTTGACCTAAGTATTCATCTATTTATATTCAACCTAAAAGGTTTTTTTTCTGATTTTTAAAAGAAATTACACAGTTTTGTGTGCCACTAAAAGTACTATGGACCCTAGGCAGAGCGCCTACTGGAGAAGTCACCTGGAAAAGGAAGTGAATACTGTTTGAAACAGAACCTTAGGAAGACAAGCGGACTGATACTGGATCAAGAGAGGCTGCCACGGTTGTGCCAACAGTAGGGCTCCCTCTGCAGGCAGCAGGTAGAAAGACGCCAGGTCCCGGGACGCCAGGGATACCCACCGGGCAGCAGTCTCCCCTCCAGGACCTCCTCTCTTCCCCCAATTCCTCCAGTAGAATACAGACAGAAACAGCGAATACACGCGCGCACACACGCACACACACACACACACACACAGACTAAACTCTGCTGTTCCCACTTCTGCTAGATGTGACTCACTCAGGACTGAGCGACGCCGACTCATTAAAAAAAAAACAAAGCCAAAATTTAAAGGTACTGCCTCCGCATTCTGCAAATAAGAACCCAACGTCCCAGAGAAAGTGGAAGAGCCCACAGGCTCCAGAAAAGACAGCAAGAGACTCAACGCAGTAGAAATGGAGAAGCAGAGATATGCTGAGACTAGTGCTTCTAAATCAATGCATAGAAATGGGCTTCACTCGAACCCACAGATTCAGAAGATGGCCCTGCTAAATTTCTCTTTGTATCCTCGTTAAAGCTGAGGCTTCCTTCCTTTTTTTTTTTTTTTTTTTTAATATTTTATTTTTTTTATCTGATAGATAGACAGCGAGAGCGGGAACACAAGCAGGGGGAGTGGGAGAGGGAGAAGCAGGCTTCCCACCAAGCAGGGAGCCCGATGCGGGGTTCGATCCCAGGACCCTGGGATCATGACCTGAGCCGAAGGCAGACGCTTAACGACTGAGCCACCCAGGTGCCCCTGAGGCTTCCTTCCTGCTTCCAGATTCTTAGGCTCATGTCTACTTGTAATGATACCTCGCTTGATTCAATTCTGACACATGGTCCCACTGACCAGTTGGAGGCCTAACTTTCATCTTAACTAGTGGCTTGTCCTAGGGCAGCTACTAGGACTTTGAACGTTGTGCTGAATTTAATGTAGCAACTCTGCTAAGCCATTAATTATGTTATCTCACTACAAACGAGAGAACTTTCTACAAGAAAAGAACTGAGCGTAATTTGTTGAAGGTCACACACAGCTTGTCGACGACAGATTCTGAGTTTGGGGCCAAGTCGGTCTCTCTCTGAAAGCACTGTGACACATGAGGGGGACCCGCTGCTCCCAATGAATGGAGGGAATAGGTAAACACACACCCAGAAAACCATCCAGGCGGCAGGGAGCCACACTTGCCCCTTGCAGAGAACCCTCAGCCTAGATCCCGAGTGCACGGGAGCTGAGGCGATGGAGAGCGGGGACCATGCCCTTGGCGGTTGGGGCACCACCAGCGCATCTATGGACCCAGGACAATTCCAATGGCGGGGGATGCAGGTGGGGGGAGGGGATGGATCGCGGAGGAGGCGGTTGTCCTGCAGTAGCTAGGGAGCTAAGGAATCATTACACAGGAGCGCTCGAGGCTGGTAAGGGGAGGCCCGCAGGTGCATCTCCCGGAAGCCCTCCCAGGTCTGGCGGAGAGCGAAGCCGCACGCCGCGGAGGACCAGGTGCGGCGCCAAGGACGCGGGAGAGGGCGCTGCTCCGCGTCCCCGAGGCCCCGAGGCCCCGGCGCGTCCCCGCCGCCGCCGCCCCGACCCTTGCACTCGGGCGCGCGCTCGCTTGCCTGCTTCCTGCCGCCGCCTCCCGGGCCATGGCGACTTGTCTGCGGCTGCGGAGCTGCCCGGCCGCACGCCTCCCGCCGGCGCCCGCCGCCCGCGGCCTGCGGCCCCGCTGCTCGGCGCAGCCCCGCCGCTCTGCCGGGGGCCTGGCGGGCCTGTCCGCGGCGCTGCTTCGCACCGACCGCTTCGTGGACGGCCGCTGGCTCCCGGCCGCCGCCGCCTTCCCGGTGCACGACCCGGCCAGCGGCGCCGAGCTGGGCTTGGTGGCCGACTGCGGGGTGCCCGAGACCCGCGCCGCGGTGCGCGCCGCCTACGAGGCCTTCTGCAGCTGGAGGGACGTCTCGGCCAAGGTGAGCGCGCTCGGGGGCCCCGGGTTGCCCCATAGAGAAACCAGCCGCGTCGCCTCCCCCTCCCCGATTCATCGGGATTCACCAGGCAGAAAGTCATAGAAACAAGGACAGAGGGGAGCCACAAGTAAGTTTGGAGCGTCGGCTTGGTCCCAAGCACTGTGCCAGGGGCTAGGGACAGGCGCCGCCCTCCAGCCTCTGAAATTGTCCCGTAGGGGAGGCGGAAGCCTTAGGTGTAACATGAGATTACCAGCGAGCCGAGGGCATGGTGAGCAGGTAGAGGGGCCTGAGCATGGGGCGCCGGCGCGCGCACAGGGGGCTCTCCGTGGCCGCTACAGTTCAACACAGGAAGGCTAGTCGGGAAATCGGGCTCTCTGCAGGCAGCCAGACCATTCTCCAGGTTTGGCCTGAATAGAAACACTGCTGTTCACTAACATGTCCTTGGCTTGTAGATGGCCGTCTGCGCACGACCTTCCCTCTGCATTTTCCGGTGTCCTAACCTCTCCTCGTAAAGACACCAGTCATACTGGATTAAGACCCGCATCTATGACCACGTTTAACCTTAATAACCTCTTTCACGACCCTGTTCAGAGATACAGGGGGTTAGGACTTCAACCTGTGAATGGGGGGGACTTGGGGCACAATTCTGCCCACACATCAGGGTCGCCTCACTGAGGACCGGGGCTGCAAAGATTAAAGGAGGGACGGGAACTCGGCTGGAGCAGAATTCTTGAGTCAGGAGCATGCCTGACCCGTTTGTAGAACAGCCAGGAGGCCGGGGCAGCTCTGAAGGCTGTCGTAACAGGGGACGGAGGGGCTGGATCCAGTGGGGTGTGCAGCCATCCTAAGGACGGGGGTTTTACCTTGAGGGAGGCGGGGCACCACTCCAGGGCTTCGAGCAGAGCTGTGACCAGGTTTGCGGTGGGAAGGGGTGCTCTGGCCCCAGCGTGGAGAACAGGCGGAAGGAGGGACACGGTGGGGGCAGAGGCCTGTTGGGGGCTGCTGGTGGAGGCTGAGGCGAGAGGGGACGGCGGCTTGAACCAGGGCGCTCTGCAGGATCTGTTGTGACCAGAGCCTCAGCTGGAGGCCCTGGTGATGTTGGGGCACGAGCGAAAGAGGGGTCAGCCAGGACCCCAGGCTTCCAGCCAGAGCACTGGGAAGGAAGGAGTAACCACTAACCACCAGCTGAGACACAGTAGGGGAGCAGAGACTGGGTGTTACAGGCTTCCGGGAAGCTCTTCTCGCCCAGTCTCAGCTTCGAGACTGGTTGTTCAGAGCCCCAGGGCTGGTGCTGGGACCGCTCACGGCCGCCGTCAGCTTGTGGTCACGTCACCCACCTGACATCCATGCCCCTGTAGTGTGAACGTGGCAGTGTCCGCTTGTCCTGCAGGAGCTTGAGTCTTCTCAAGAGAACCTTTCTTCTTGGAAGGCTTGTGGAGCGTCTTGCTGAGGAAGTGGGGCTTGGCTGGCCCAAGGAAGGCAGGTCTCCCTCTGCAGGGAGGAGTGGTGGGGCTGTGACGCAGCTCCTGTATAAGGCAGCCCTGACCCACCCCTCTTGCCCCCAGGCCTGTCTGTCCGCCCTGCCCACCCCCATCCTCGAGGTCTGGCTCACCTGATGCTTCTGCCATTGGGCCCCGCTGTCCTCCCCTCTCTGAACGGTGGCATGGGTCCGTGCGCCTTGGCTTGCCCTTCCGGGTGACATTGTTTGCGTTGCCTCACGTCTTTTCACGTGTTTTAGGACCTCCTGTTTCCCACCTTGTGAACTCCTGCAGGATCTCAGGGGAAATGGGAGCCAGATCCTTACGGCTCTGTGAGCTAACGCATTAGTCACTTATGGCGGCTGTAACAAATTAAGGCAAATCAGTAACACGACAGCCCAAATCTATTCTCTCACTGTTCTGGCGGTCAGAAGTCCCAAGTGTGCTGGCAGGACTGTGTTCCTTCAGCAACCGCTTGGGGCTTCCTTCCCAGCGTCTAGAGGCCACCCCCACCTCACTCCAGCCTCCGCTTCTGGTACCACACCACCTTGTGTGCCTCGGCCCCTCCTGCTTCCCTCTTAAGTGAGCCTTGTGGTTCCATTGGGGGCCCACCTGGATGCCCTCCTCGCCTCGGGATCCTTTACCCGATCACATCTGCAAAATCCCTTCGCCGTGAGAGGGAACAGATTCGCAGGTTCCAGGGGTTAGGATGAGGCCATCTCTGAGGGCTGTTAGGGTGCCGCCACAGCTGAGTACTGTTCTTGGCGTGTTCCAGGTGCTTTATCTAGTGCTTTCAGTGGCTCTCTGAAGTAGAGACTTGATCCACGGTACGGATGAGGAGCGTGGCTTAGATGGGCTCCGAGGCCACCTCCCACCACACATCCCTGCTCGGGTGGGACGCGAGCCTCCCTGTTGGAGACCGGCACACTCTCACAGCTCCTCACAAAGATCGCAGTGGTGTCCGGGGGCTGCCATCACGAACTACCACAAACCTGATGGTTTAAACAACAGAAACATATTGCCCCAGCTCTGCAGGCTCGAAATCCCAAGTCAAGGGCTGGTTCCTTCCGAGGGCTCTGAGGGACGGATCTGCCCCAGACCTCTGTCCTTGACTTGCAGGTGGTATCTCCCCTGTGCCCCACCATATCATCTTCCCTCTGTGCATTCCTGTTTCTGTGTCCAAAGTCCCCCTTTTTACATGGAGCCCCCTTTTATATGTTGGAGTAGGGCACACCCTAATTTTAGATTAACAAAACTTTTAAAAAGTTTTAACTTTGAATTTATTAAAAATTGAACGTCACTGTAACTTGCTTGCCTCGGTCACATCTGTAAAGACCCTGTCACTGTCTGAGGTACTGAGGGCTGGAACGGCAGCACGTCTGTTTGGGGCACACACCATTAACCCACGACACGGGCTGTGCATCCTGAGGGTGGCCCGTTGCCTCCCCTGGCTTCCGAGGTTCGGCCTGGGCGTGTGTTTTCCGCCAGCAAGCCGAATCTCCTTTGCATTCCTGCAGTTCTCACGCCGTTCCGTGTCTCTCATCGCCTCTCAGGCGAAGCATGGACTCTGTCGAGCAGGCCCTGGGCTCAGATCTTGGATTTCTTTCTCCAGGCCAGGCCCCCTAGAGCGCAGTCTTTTGTCTCTCCCCGAGAATAAGCACTGGCCTGGAACCATCAGATTCCCCCCTGCTCGTGCACAGGGCGAGCGTGCAACCAGAGCTGTGTGTGGTGAAGTTACTCGTCTTTGTGCTGTTCAACCCAAGTCTTTTTCTCTTTTACAACTTATGACTCAATACAACCCTTAGATGCAGCTTGAAATGGAATCTTCCTTATTGCTTATCAAAGAAAGCTCTGCACACCTGAAACTAACATTGTGTTATATATATGTCACTTAGGCATCGTTTTAAAAAAGAAGAAGACAGGTCAGTGTGTGTTTCCCCGAGCGTGAGACCGCACAGCAACCGTTTGAGGACATGGAAGGTTATTTTGTATTTCTATTGCTCTTTTTCTTTCCTTCCCAGGAGAGGAGTTCATTACTTCGGAAATGGTACGACTTAATGATACAAAATAAGGATGACCTTGCCAAGATTATTACAGCTGAAAGTGTAAGTTCAGGGCCCTAACCTGCTCCCCTAAGAAGCTGTCCCACAGTGCTCAGGCTCAAGCCCGGGCAAGCCTGCAGCTAAAGAAAATGGGAATTCCTTGCCTAATGGTCAGCTATCCACTAAGTATTGTGCCAGGCCTCACATTTGCTAGAACAGTTTGTATGTTCTACCCTTGAATAATATACGAGAAACATAGATGGAGCTGGAGCCTGTTATACTAAGTGAAATAAGTCATTCTGAGGAAGACAGATACCGTATGATTTCACTCATACGTGGGCTTTAAGAAACAGAAAAAAAAGACAAAGAGACAGACTCTTACATACAGAGAACAGCCTGGTGGTTGCCAGAGGGGAGGTGGGCGGGGGGTGGGGGGACAGTAATAATAATCCTGGAGAAATAGATTTTGAGTGGAATTATGTGAATAATGCTTTGCCACCATTCCAGATTTTTTCTCTCTGATTGGTGTGGTTGGCTTTCTTCACACTGTGTATGTTTAGTTTTTTTTTTTAAGATTTTAATTATTTATTTGAGAGAGAGAGAGAGCGCGCATGAGAGGGGGGAGGGTCAGAGGGAGAAGCAGACTCCCCGCCGAGCAGGGAGCCCGATGTGGGACTCGATCCCGGGACTCCAGGATCCTGACCTGAGCCGGAGGCAGTCGCTCAACCAACTGAGCCACCCAGGCGCATACACACTGTGTATTGCCTAAAAACGTGCCAGAAGTTTCTCCATGGCTGTAATCATGGCTTCACAGCAGGGTCCCAACACTGAGAAGGTGTCCGAGGAGAAACAAGTGCGAAGTCGCCCTTCTAGCTGCCGGGGGTGCAGGCGGATTGTGGCCTGGCTTCCCGTCTCCACCTTTCTCGTTCTGCCTTCTGGGACGCCCGCTGGGGTCGCGCATTTCGCAGCGGCCCTGGGGGTTTGGTAACGGGAGAGCGTCTGCTCTGCGGGCCGCCTGGCGGAGTCATGCCGTTGTCGTGAGACGCAGCGAACGTGTCCTTTTCTGATCCAGGGGAAGCCACTGAAGGAGGCACAGGGGGAGGTGGTCTATGCCGCCCTTTTCCTGGAGTGGTTCTCAGAGGAAGCCCGCCGCATCTATGGAGACGTCATCCGCCCCCCCGCAAGAGACAGGCGGGCCCTGGTCCTCAAGCAGCCCGTTGGGGTGGCGGCAGTCATCACCCCGGTACGAGGTCGGGCAGGACGGGCGAGGTCCCGGGGTGGGAGATGGGGCGGGACTGGGACGACACCGCCTTCTTCCTTGCGAGGAGGTGTGCTCCCCGCCGCCGGCTCCGTGCGTCCCCGGTCCCGCGGAGACTGTGTGCCGCTCCTCTGTGACACCCAGGTGCGGGGTGGCGAGGGGGAATGCCTGTTGGGTAACTCCTGCAGAGGCGGACAACCCACAGCAGGACAGGGGGCTTTTCTGACGGGGCATAAAGGCTTCTTCTAGGCTGGGCCTAGCACGTCGGAAGGAAAAGATCTTTTTTTTTTTTTTTTTTTAAGACTTAAGCTGTGACACATTTAAGGTGCCACGGCGTAGGGAAAATTTTATGCTCAGTTTACGATTATCATCCGCAGCCAAGTATTAGTGTGCCGACCAGCAGGCACTGGGCCGGGTTCTGCAGGTGAAAAGGTTTCCAGAGTATGGGTCTGCCTGGGTGGGGATGCGGCCCCCCGGGGGGCGTCCCGCGCTCTCCTGGTGACCTGCCTTGTGTGGCCGCGGTCCACGAGGTCCCCCATCAACTCCTCTCGGGTGACCGCTGGTGTCAAGGCTGCTGATGTGTCCTGGCCCGGCAGACGTACACAGACACCCCCTTAGCCTAGCCTGACCAGGTGTGCCTCGGAGCTCCCTGTTCCCCAGCTGCCTGAGCTTGGGCGAGGTACTTAGCTGCTCTCAGTTTCCCCAGGGTAATGCCCTCATTATTCCCCGGTGTATAATACCGCAGCGGGCTGGGATGAGGATTCCATTAATTATCATTTAGAAGTGCTTCCTAGCACAGAATGAGCACTAGACAAGGATTTGTCAAAATAAAAAAAAAAATGCTGTTAGTATAGGTATGGAGATAGCTACAGATATCTATCCATAAATAGAGAAGGAAGTCACAAATCATCTGCCATTTTCAAAATTACCTTGGCTAATATTTTCTCCCAAAGGGTCAGCGAAACTACGGCTTTCAGGCCTAATCCAGCCTGCTGCCTATATTTGTAAATAAAGTTTTATTGGGACCCAGCCATAGCCATTCCTGTACGTACTGGCTGTACCTGCCTCCACATTAGAACCACGGAGTCGTTGGGGCAGAAACTGTACATCCCACAGAGCCTAAATATTTACCATCTGGCCCTTTACAGAAAAAGTTTGCCAACTCCCAGTGAGGATAATCTTGCACTGTTTCAGATTCTGGAAAGGTTTCCTGTCTTTACGAGCCTATGCCTCCAGAGTCGCTGAGTTGAGAGGCGTCAGGTGTTCTGAGAGCTCACCTGAGCAAGAGCCAGAGAACCGCTTTGAGAGTCCGTGTGTGCAATGGAATTGTTGACTGACTTCCTGACCTGCCTTGTTTTGAACCCTGGGGCAGTCCATCCTGTCTCATACTTTCTCTGCTCTTCTGACCCCAGTGGAATTTCCCCAGTGCCATGATCACCCGGAAGGTGGGGGCCGCCCTGGCAGCCGGCTGCACCGTGGTGGTGAAACCCGCTGAACACACACCCTTCTCTGCCCTGGCCCTGGCCGAGGTGAGCCTCTCCCCCATGTTTGTGCATAGCTGACAAAGTCCAAGCGGGGATTATTTATCCAGGGCAGAAAGAAACTGATTCGAAGCCTCCTTCTTTGGCTGCATCTCATGCTGGATGTGTTATGTTTTAATTTCCTAACAATTATTCTATTTTAAGTCAGATATTTTATTACTTTAAGTAGGCTCCACACCCAGCGTGGAGCCCAACGCGGGGCTTGAACTCACGACCGTGAGATCAAGAGCGGATGTTCAACTGACTGAGCCCCCCAGGTGCCCCTAAGTCAGATGTTTTAGGAAAAAAAACAATGGATGGGGGACTTCCTGACATCTGTAGACAATGTATATTTTAGGCTGCCCTAAAAATAGTACCTGTCCGTCACTTTTATTAAGTAGGCAGGCAGATGACAAAATGTGAGCATTTCTCACATTTTAGGGAACCTCTTCTTTACCTCTCCCTTCTCCAGTTCAGTCAACATTCAGTCAGGTCTCGCCATTCCCCTGTTTAAAACCCTCCGATGGCTTCTCATGTCCCTCAGAGTGAAGCCCAGACTTCCTACAGTGGTCTCCAAGGCCCTATGAGATGCCACCCCCAAGCCCCAATCTCCCCTCTGCCCTTACCTTACCTGTCACTCCAAAAGCCCGCACCCCTCAGCTCTGGCCACTCTGGCCCCTTGTGCTCCTCAGACCACACCAGGCTCACCCCGACTCAGCTCTATACCTGCCTTTTCTTCTTCCGGAAAGTTCCTCCCCAGATGCCACCTTTCCAGGGAGGCCCTGCTGGCCCCCCGTTGGAAAATCACAGCCTTGGACTCCCGTGCTCCTGATCCTTTCTCTGCTTTGTTCTTCTTCCCGTAGCTCCATGCCACCTGACATGCTGGCTGTCTCACGGACACGAGCACGTCAGCTCCGCGGAGACGGGGACTCGCCTCTGTTTTGTTCACTGCTGAATGCCAGAACCTTCTATGGTGCCTGGGCCCAGGAGGCCCTCAGGAAATGTTCGCGGCAGGGAGGGATTCTGAGCCGTGAGAGCCACACTGAGTGTGGGGGTCCGTTTCTGGCCTCGTCACCTGCACTCTTCCTGGGCCGCGAGTCCTCCTCCTTGTGCCGCTGTCTTTGGCCCTGTGGTCAGCTGGAGAAGCTTCTAGAAGGCAGCGGCAGTTGCCACGTTTGCTGTTCAGGGCTGTCAGGGACCGGGTGCAGCTCCAGACCTTCAGGGCACTTCCCCCAACGGCATCTTATTTCAGAGGCAAATTGGATATTTTAGTCCTATGGAAACGTTAACCAAATGGAAGCCTTCTTTTAGATGAGCTGTTATGGTTTTCCTTGAAATGATTCTTAAATCTGCAGGACGTGTGTAAGTGAACTTACTACTAGGCTCCTCAGGCGTGCACAGAGTTAGCGGTGTGCTTTTACAAGTGACAGTATTCAGAGCCCACACCGATCTATGACCAGCAGACCCCTCCTGCTTAAGAAATTTATTTGGAAACACATCTGTGTTGATCGGAAAGGCTCAGGAGCACACTTTTTTAAAAAACCTCATAAACCTCATCCAGACTTCGTCAGACATCGGTTCGGTCTCCTGTGTCCTTTAATCGGGAGACGCATATATAGCCAGTTGTCTCTTGTCATGACGTTGGCCGGGCTGCTGGTCAGTGCTGCTCATTTCTTTTCTTTTCTTTCTTTTTTTTTTTTTTAAGGATTTTATTTTTAAGGAATCTCTATACCAAACGTGGGGCTGCCTGCTTTTCATTTCTGAACTTAGTTTTTCCTTGCATTTCTAATTCTTCCCAGTGTTCCCTTACCTCATTTCCAGAATTTCTTTAATTCTGATTCATGTTGTTCTTTTGTATCTTGATACTTTTTTTTCCTTCATTGTCAGTTACCGCTTTGATCTGTTTTGTGGGCATGTCTTCTGGGAATGCTTTTGCTGTCCACGGGGATGCTTTCTGCTCTTTAGTCTCTTATTTTCTTCTAATAATGTTGGATTTGATTTGGGTATTTTTCTGAGCATTTACTTCATTTTTATACGAAGTTAGTTTTCCTAAGCTTTAAGCAGGAGGCCTGATTCTCTAACTTCACAGGTGTCTTTTGTTTTCCCGCCCTGAGATTTCCGGGCTCCATTCCCTTCCCCGCTTGACCCGAGCCTGCTGCGCCTCCTTTATCACCTGCTCTTGCACTGGGGAGTCCCAGCGCTGTCCCGGGAGCACCGGTGGGCTGTTCTCCAGCTGCGTCCATCAGACAGCTTCCTTCTGCGGCTCCTCCTGCTGGTGCTGACGCTCCCAGCTGTCACTGGCATGTCCGCACCCACGGGTCAGGCAAAAAAGCAGGTTGCCAAACCCTCCGTGTTGTGAAATTTCCTGGGGGAGGGCTGCCTGGCTCCTTATCTCGATGGTCTGGCCGGCCCAAGCCTTTGCCCGAGATAGGCATCTTTGAAACGGGTGCCTGGGCGGTCAGACCTTAAGTCAGCCCTGCGGAGCAGTAAGAAACGACTGTCCTGGACACGCGCTACATCCAGTCTTGGAAGTGCTGCCTCTGATGCTGTGGTTTGGCTCTGTGATTGCCCTCTCTGTGTTTAGGAGGGGATTCGGAGAGAGTGCAACACTCCGCTCTTCCCGCCATCTTCCCAGAACCCCAGGCGGATTTGTGCAGGGGTCACAGTTAGGGAGATTCAGAAGTTACTGTGATTCCAGAAGTGCCTGATCCAAAGAGGGCCGCGGCGGGTCAGTGTGCTGGGCCCCATACTCCGTGGCGCGTGGCGTGGGCACCAGCCCCTCGCGAGGCCTCCCGTTCCTCACCACTGCCCTGGGGGGTCCCCCGCAGGACAGCCTGCCCACTGCCCCCCCCTCACAGGAGGTGCCCCGGGAGTGCTCCCCTGCGCCCTCTCCCTTTGCTTCTTCTACAGGTGAACCCAAAACTTCTGGAACTCTCCCTGGATTTTTCTCAGGAAAGAAATCCAAGGGTTTTTTGTTTTGTTATTTTTTAAAACAAAGTGGCATTAAAAATTAATTAAAATAAATTTAAAAAAGAGTGGCATTAAAACAAGGCTATAAAATATTTACATGTGTGAGAACACATTTTAAATCACTTTAGCATGAATAAGGATCTTATTTCAGTTCCAAATATATTCTTATTCTGTCCCAAAGCCAGCTTAGTTGTTTTTTTTCTTCCCCCATTACGTTCTGGATTAAAACCTCTATTTCTCTTTTTCTGTTTTTCCAGTTTGATCATTTGCTGCCCCCTGTTTGCTGTTTCTCTTTATAGCTTGCAAACCAGGCTGGAATTCCCCCAGGTGTGTACAATGTTATTCCCTGCTCTAGAAAGAAGGCGAAAGAAGTAGGGGAAGCGCTTTGTACTGATCCTCTTGTGTCCAAAATTTCCTTTACTGGCTCGACAGCGACCGGAAAGGTACGTGACCTAGTCTCAAAGAAAACAGATGTCATTCTAATATTTTCTCTCTCTAGAGTAGGAAAATACTAGTTCATCTTTAGCACCCTTCCTAGGGAGATTTGCAGTGGAGGGTTAAGAGGTCTGTAGGATAAAGTAATGTCTGATCACCGTCCAGAGACATTTTGGATGGTGTCCCTTACCGTGACAGGACAGAGGTCCTCTCGGACAATAAGGCGTTGGGGTAACCAGAGTTCCCATTATTTGTTGCATGTGAAGTGGCTGAAGGCTCTCCATTGTATCTCCTCAGTTCTGGAATGCACATTTCTTTCATAATCTAGAATTAAAGGTTCCAGAAACATAAAACTGATGTTAAAATGGACGTCTTAGAACTGAACCAAAATTGTATTTAGTATAAAGGTACTTACAGAAACAGAAAGGTCTTTTTGTTGCCTTAAAAAGCTTTATAATTGTGCATTGAGTTAGCCATTCTATTTCAACAAATTTATACTGAGAGAATAATTGCAGCGTTATTTTGAATAGCAAGGAATTGGAAGCCTAAGTTTCCCACAGATGGGGGCTGAATAAATAAATTTATGGAACAGCCATGCAATGGAATTTAGGCTGGCATCTAAAGAAATGTTCTAGAAACACGTGTGCTACCATGAGAGAATCTTCACGGTATAGTGTTACCCTGAAGGAAGAAGGTATAAGGTGTTATGAATGTGTTAAGGTGTTCCAGATATGTGGTTAATTGGGAAGATAAAGCAGGTTACAGAACTTTATAAATCTACCATTCTGTTTTCTTAAAAAAAAAAAAATGCATCTATATGAAGCTGTGTATGTGGCCAAATTCTGGAGCAATATACTTTAAAATTTTATCAGTGGTAAGCTAAGGGTATGGGATTCTGGGTGATTTTATTATCTTCCCTATGTTATGATTAAGCCTATTATATAATTTTTAATAGGTAGCACATTTACATGGTGCAAGAAGCAAGGCAGTATAAACATTCTTACATTCAGAAGGCTCGTGCCTGCCCCTGACTCCCTCCCTTCTGTCCATGTAACTACTGTGAATTTCTTGTAGCCTTCCTACTGTGTCTTTATCATATACAAATATATGTTCTTATGCAAACGGTCGTCCTGGAGACACTGCTGTGCCCCTGGCTCTTGCCCTGCTGGGTAAGTGTTTGAAACAAAGGCTTACCGGTCCCAATCCTGGTCCGGCGCTCACAGAGTCTGTCATCTGCCCACAGATACTGCTGCACCACGCGGCAGGCTCCGTGAAAAGGGTCTCCATGGAGCTGGGCGGCCACGCCCCATTCATCGTATTTGACAGTGCCAACGTGGACCAGGCTGTAGCAGGGGCCATGGCATCCAAATTTAGGAACTCTGGACAGGTGAGTCCTGCAGTGTTTTTCAGGGCGTGCGTGGGTGTGTGTGTGTGCACGCGCATGTGCCTGTGTTTCACAGAGATCTTACTGCCTAACTCACCTCCTGGAAGGAAACTTGCAGGTTCCTTCCACCATCCGTCCTTTACTCCCTTTCAGCACGTATTTGGTAAGGGCTCTTTTTAGGGCAGCTGTTCTCAGCTCAGAGTGTCCAAAGAGAAATAAGGTGTAATCCCTGGCTTCGAGCAATTTCCTGAACAGCAGATGTTTTTTAATCACATTGTTCTCTTCATCTTCCTCCTCTTTGAATCTGGTTATTTTCATAGTTTTCCCCTCACTGGGCTTCTCTCTACTGAACAGATAAAATCATCTCCTCAGATACAAAACAGCCCAAACAGCTAGGATCTGAGGCCCACAGTCTTAAGGAAGAGAAGGTAGGAAAATGTTGAGATTGTTCTTGAAAAACTCAAAATGCCATTGCCTGGGTCTCACTGTCCCTGATGGAGGGGGCCTGATGGGCACACGGTACAGCGTACCCAGGGGGTGTCCAGGTTGTCATCGGGAGAGTGGTGGCTCAAGGCCACCCCTCCACAGGAAATCCTGGCTGAGCACATCTGGCACGACCTTCGAAGTGACCTGATATAGACCTCACATTTTACAGACGAGGAAATGGAACTCTGGAGACACTGGTTGATTTGAAGTCCTAGACCCTTGGGTTGCAGTCCCAACTCAGTGGACTGAGGGTCTCGTCTCCCAGTTTCTCTCCAAGCTGTTGCCAGGAACCTGGCATCTTACAAAATATTCTTAAGTACTTTGTTTCAGAGTACCATCAGTAAGTGGTTTTAAATGCATTCCAGAGACAATAAAAACTCCTGAAAGGTAATATTGTGGGGAAAAAAGGTGAAATGTTGTACTCTATATCAAGTAGTTTTTATCCTTGTATTGACCTTCAGTGATTAATTTCTCCCCTTTTATATAATCTTAAATAAGCTTGGTTGTTTCAGAAATACCTTTGTTTCCTTTTAGAAATGTAAAATGCTAATGGGTGTAACCTTCAGAGTCTCACTCATAAAGCTACAACTTTGAGGTATATTGCTTGAAGCCAATAAAAATGCATAGGACAAAAATTATATCTAGATCTATTTCCCTATAGTTTCTACTAGAAAAATACACGATTAAGAAAAAAGACGAGAAGAAAATCTGTCAGTGATAACTGCATTTCCTATAACATGGTTATATTTTATAATTTAAAAATATTAGGTCTAGGAGTGCCTGGGTGGCTCATTTGGTTGAGTGACCAGCTCTTGATTTTGGTTCAGGTCATGATCTCAGGGTCCTGGGATCGAGCCCCATGTCAGGCTCTGCACTTAGCAGGGAGTCTGCTTAAGGACTTTTTCTCTCTCCCTCTCCCTCTGCCTCTCCCCCTGCTCACACATGGTCTCTCTCTTAGAAAAAACATAAACAAGGGTCTTTTCAATAATTTAGGCTGACATGGAAGAATGGTCTTGTGTCCATTTTCAAAATGTCAGATTCAGCCAAACTCTGAACAGTTTCATAAGCTAATGGATATAAGTCAGCCTTTGACTGCCTTCCATCCTGCCCCTGCTCTGTCATTGCAGCATCACTGTCTCTCACGGAGTTACAGGTTTTTTTATGCTCTTTTCTTCTTTCCCTATTTGTTTTATAGTGGCTTACTTAAGCCATTGGAAAAAAGCTTGGGTCAGGTGGCTTTCTCTTTTTTGCACAGATATGTGTACTTGCTTACTTGTTTAACCACAAGGTGTGGCAGATATGGAGGTTGGAGAAGGATGCGCACTTACTTAGTGCGTTTATCTTCAGGGCCCCACCCACACGGGGAGGGACATGGCAGATTGGACACAGGACGGGAGCCACCTGGGGAAGTGTTTTCATATTCAGAGGTAGCAGCAGTCACACATTTATTGGTTGGGTCAACAGCTTCTGACAAACTGTCCGGTGAGTTTGGGGTTTTTTTATTTTTTTATTTTTCCCTGTCTAGACTTGTGTTTGCTCAAACCGTTTCTTGGTGCAAAGGGGTATCCATGATTCCTTTGTGAAGAAATTTGCTGAGGCAATTAAAACAAACCTGCGTGTGGGTAATGGATTTGAGGAAAGAACTACTCAAGGCCCATTAATTGATGAAAAGGCAGTAGAAAAGGTAAGTTCGTTTGATTTTTTGTTAAAGTAAATTTCATGGTTTTGATATCAAAGGCTTAACTAGCAGAAAACACTTTGGTAAAGTGCCCAGCAAGGCTGTTTTGGAAATAATGGAGAAATCAGGAAAAAGTGAATTTCTGCCCATAAGTATAAGTCAGGTGGCTTCATCTGTCCGTAAGGTTTTCCAGCTCCGGCATTACAGTGCCCATGAGATCTGTCACTTTAGATCTTCTACTGCCCTCCCTAAATTTTCTCTGATCGTGGTGATAATTTTATCCCTAGCTGCCCTAGGAATTAGGATCTTGAAAGACAAAGTTCTTTAATTTTTTGAACATCCAAAAGGAAAGGAAGACTGGTTTTGTTTGCAAAATCATGTATGTTTCAGCTGAAATGCTGGCTTCTCCATTGACAAAAAAAAAACACATGCCCTTCCAGAAGAGTCCTCCCTCCCTGGTAGGGAGATATGGAATAGCAGGAGCCACGCCCGGGATTTACAGACGGCAAGAAGGGGAAATGGCTTTTAGGAAGGATCTCTTTGTTTATAGAAAGTCACAGTCTAGATAGACCACTAGCTGGTTGTCCTTGTTGTTTTAAAACATAATCTCCTGTTTTAAAACATAATCCTTTTTAAGAAAATGTGGTGTTTACACACACACACACACACACACACACACACACACACTGGAATATTATGCAGCAATAAAAAAGAATGAAATCTTGCATTTGCAATAACACGGATGGCTCTAGAGGATAACGTGAAGTACGTCAGTCAGAGAAAGACAAATACCATATGATTTCACTCATATGTGGAATTTAAGAAACAGAAAAAAGATACACAACAAAAAAATCAGACTCAATGCTAGAGAACTAACTGGTGGTCAGCAGAGGGGAGGAGGGTGAGGAGAGGGGAGAAATAGCCGAAGCGGATTAAGAGCGCACTTACTGTGGTGAGCACGAGTAATGTATGGAGTTGTTGAATCGCTATGTTGTACACCTGAAACTAACAAGGCACTGATGTTAACTGTACTGGAATTGAATAAATAAAGGGGGGGGGAGATCCCATAATCCTTTTTAGATTGCTTACAAGGAACGTTCTTAGAATATGAACATCCAAAACAAAAAAACAAAAAAAAAGGGAACATCTCATATGTTCCTGAGGTATATCTCTACTAGTGAAAAGGATTTTAATGAAATCATTTAAAGCAGACTGAGGTTGGAGGCTGGGTTGTATGTGGGGAAAGAAGGGTGACACAGCCAGCCTCCTGGGTGTCACCTGAGGAACCAAAATTAAGTTAGAGCCAGGTCAGCACCCACCTGGGCTCCTGCTGTTCATCGGCCGCCTGAGGACCAAGACCCCAGGGCTTCCCGGCCTCAGTGGGCAGTCAGGTCAGCCTCAGCCAGTGGGAGCCAGGGGAAGCATCGAGGTTTGACAGAGCTCTGTATTCTTGCCTTGGGATTGCCCTAATAGAGAACATGCATTAAAGTGTCCATTAAAGTGCGCCAGCTTCAAGAGTGAGGGTGTGTGTACCGGAGCCAGGCTCCCCTGCCTTTGCCCCTTGGGGAAGGGGGCTGTCCCTGAAGTGAAGCCTGCCAAATCAGAATAAACCTGAGCTTGCCGTTGCCCCTCTTGTTCAGGGGAGAGATTGGAAACCACAGAGCCCACCCATGTCACCCACTTAAGTTAACCAAGCCAGCCCTTCACGAGGAAGGTGAGCAACCAGCAATCATGATAACTGTAGGGCAGACCCTCAGTGCATAAGAGGAACAGTCAACTCTCAAGGAAGAGGACGAGTCTGGGAACAGAAAGGAATTTTCTTAGAATTGAATAGCATTCTCCCTGTGTTTTCAGCAGATTGCACATCTATAAAACAAAAGCAGGTTCTGTGAAAATGAGGCAATGAGAACAAGAAAGGTTTTAGAAATGAAACACATGATGGTCAAATCTTTTTAAAAAAATCAGTAGATGAAGATGGAAGAATCAAGAAGAGCTCTTGGAATTTAAAGCAAAAGACAGATGAAAAATACGATAGAAATTTGAAAAAAAATGAATTAATCTGAGGTGAGGGGATATACATTTTAGCAACAGGCACTCCAGAAAGAACTGAGAGGGGGATAGTAGCATTATCAAGTCAATAACATGAAAACTCAGAGCCAGGGGAAATGATGCTTCACATGGAAAGACTTTACCAACCACCTAGTGGAATGAAAGGAAAAAGCCCCAGATACATTCTGCTAAAACATGGAATGTCAGGAACATAGAAGATCCTAAACGCTTCCAGAGAGTGGGGGTCAGCTACCTGCCCAGGAGTGAGAACTATCTCTGAACATGACTTGCATCAACAACGCTAGAAATAGCTATGTGTACTCAAGAGTTCTGAAGCAAAATGATTTCGGATCACCATTCCGTCCCCAGCCAACACAAGGTAAGACATCAGACATGTGTTGTCGGAAAACTCGGGAAGTAGGCGTTTTCAGTGTGCCTTTCTCAAAACAGCCACTTGAGGAGAATGTAATAGAACAGAATGAAAGTCAGGAGGACAGCATGGCGCCCAAGAACCTGGAGCTAACTCAAGAGTGCAAAGAACAAATCCCAGGAAGACCGCAGAGTGTCAGGCCCAGAAGGACATCAGGCCATACTAGACCCTTCAACAAATTACAGGATCAGACAGCGGAAGATCTAAGGGCAGGGGGAGGTGGCACTTGCACACGCCACGTGCCCTCTTCCTGCCTCTGTGTCTCTGCATATTTGGTTCTTTCTACCTGGAAGGAACCAGGGCACATCGTTCTCAACCTATTTTTTAAGAAAAAGAAAGAAAAAAACCGTTCCCTGCAGATTTAACACTCTTAAGAGATTGTATCATCTCCACAGTTATCTGCAAGCCAGCTCTCCCGGGGTCCTCTTTTCCTCTTCACACAGGTAGAGAAACACGTGAGTGACGCGGTTTCCAAAGGGGCCACCATTGTGACCGGCGGGAAGCGACACCAACTTGGAAAAAATTTCTTCGAGCCTACCCTGCTCAGCAATGTCACCAGGGACATGCTCTGCTCTCACGAAGAGACGTTTGGGCCTCTGGCGCCAGTGATCAAGTAAGATCGCCCCACCGGCAGGAAGATGGGAGAGGATCAGGGCAGAAGAGGGACACCTGGGCAGTTGGAGCACTGTGGTGAGGCCCCGGGTGGGGGGGGGGGAGCTGCAGAGCAGAGCTCCGTTGTTTCAGCCGGAGAGCCAAGTCCAGTTCAGGGTTCTGAAAAAAAAAAAAAAAAGTGTTTTTATCATAGACCCCTAAATTCACCAGATTCTTTCCTTTGCCTTCTTACTTCTTGCTTTCGCTGGTCCATCTTCTCAGGGGAGCACGTCCTCAAAGAGTTCTTTCAAGGGAGTCAGTGGGAAGTGAACTTGCTGTGCTCCTAGGTGATGTTTTGTTTTTTTTTTTAAGATTTTATCTATTTATTTGAGAGAGAGAGAGAATGAGAGATAGAAAGCACGAGAGGGAAGAGGGTCAGAGGGAGAAGCAGACTCCCTGCCGAGCAGGAAGCCCGATGTGGGACTCGATCCCGGGACTCCCAGGATCATGACCTGAGCCGAAGGCAGTTGCTTAACCAACTGAGCCACCCAGGCGCCCTCTTAGGTGATGTTTTATCTCACTTTCAAAGGTCAGTAATAACTCACCTGGCTAGAATTCTAGGCTCGGCACCGTGAAGATACCACTAATTGTCTATTTGTTTCTGGGGTTGTAACCGAGAAAGCTGGTGCCTGGCTCTTGTAGGGACCTGCTTTTCCTCTTGGAGGCTGTTAGGATTTCTCACGGGTCTTTGACATCCTTGTCTTACCAGTGAGGCCCATCGGGAGCTTCTCCACGCTGTGGTCCTAACAACTTCCTTTAATATCCGAGGTGTCTGCCTAGTCCTGGGAAATTCTTGGTCATTGTTTCTCCAGATATTTCTCTCCCCCATCCATTCTTTAACGGCCTCCTAGGAAGACTGTGGTAGTGCCACACCCGCGTCACCCCCTGCTTCTCTTCACGCCTGTGTTCATCGCACATCTTCATCCATTCCCGAGGCCTCCTAAGACACTCGGTCCCCTCCACCTGCCGGTGGAGTCCTGCGTTCCTCAGATACCCAGCGCTGTGCTACCCAGCCCATCCACCGCGTGTCTCGGTTACTCTTCCATCCCTGATGTCTCCAGTTCATTCTTCCTCATCATGGAGTCTTCCCGCTTCATTATTCTCCCTTACGTTGCCGTGGATGCTTATCCGTTTCTTACATTTTATTCTGTTGCTCGGTTTCCACCTCCTATGGTGTAGGTCGTTCTGTAGGTCATGCTTCTCCTCAGAGCTCCTCAAATGTCTTGTCGTTTTCTCTGTGAACTTGTCTGTAACTTTTTGAACACTTAGTGTCTGCCTCGGAGTTGTGGTAAAAAGCTTAGGCCTTAGTCTGGGCTGCTTCTGATACATCTGAGCCTCAGGAAGGAAGCTTCTAGTATGAAATCCAGTCTCAACATGACTGCCTGTGCCCCAGGTATTTTTGGCTTCCTGGGGTATTTTGTGGTTACCTCTGGAGTAACAAGAGGGGTTCAAGGGAAGAGGCCTCTGGTTCATGCTGTTGCCTACACTCGTTTTGGGTGACTCACCAGGCCAGCTGGGCTCGAGTTCTGCCTGGGCCCCACCACCCTGAGCTGGCCCTGCTGCTTTCCTGCTTATAGGCATGTACCACTGGTCCAGGGACCCGGGTCTGTAGGTAACAGGACCTGAATCCATAGGCACAGGGCGGCGGCGTGGGGGGGCCCAGGTGCAGCCCCTCCCCCCCTCTTCCGCAGGCTCCATAGCACCCCAGCCCTTCCCAGCCCTCCATGGGTGGCCCCTAGCTCTCTCCCACTTGAGGCCATCATTCCCTCAGGATTCAGCCACCTTCTCGGCCCCCAGAAGTGTCTTGTGTTTTTGGTCTTAGTTGCTGGTTGAGGGTTTTTGAGCTAAGATTCTTTCTCTCTCCTCCGGCATCTCCAGCATCAGGTTCCCAGGGAGAGCTGGTCCCTGGCGCTACCCGTGCCATCTTGTCTGGGACAGAAGTCTCTCTTATCATATACTTTCCTGGCTTTGTTACTATCTTGCCAATGAAATTTACATATTAATCCATCATTGGGGAAATGGACCACTTGAAGAACTTTTGTCTTAATAAAAATTTTTTTACCTAGAATGTGAACTTGACATTTCCAGGGAGCCTAGAGGATGCAGTCAGTGGTGAGGAATGCAGGCTTTGGAGTTGAACTGGGTGTAGATTTAGGCTTTGCTGCTTCCTACCTGTGTACCCGTGGACAGATTAACTTCTCTAGTCCCAGGGTCCTCGCATGGGAAAGGAACAGACCTAGTACCTGCTTCGCAGAGTAGTGACACAGGTTCAGTTACATGATGTGCATAAAGCACGGAGCACGGTGCCTGATAGCATCATGGTTGTTGTTACATAATCGAAGCGTTAGGGCTGGGAGGGGGACAAGTTGTTGCTAGCGGGCTCCGGTCTTACCACACCTCTCCTCTGGGTACAGTGGTGAGCACACAGCTCCAGGGTGTGCAGGAAGGTGAAAATCCTCAGGGATGCCATAGTCAGTGATGTGATGACTCTGTTTCTGAGGGGTAAGTGGGAACATCAGCTGCGCGCTATTTTTCTGTTCTCCGGCGGGCAGAACGGCTTGCTGTCTACCAGTCGGCAAGCCTAGGAGATACAGCTGCGCATCCTCGGGGCAAGTGATCCTCCTGGGGTCCCCCTCCTTGATCTCTCCCCAGAGCCCTCTTCTCACCCACCCTTCCTCTTGTGTGGACGGGGCCCAAGGCGACCCCGCTGGCTCTGCCCGGTGCCTTTAGAGATGGCTGCCACCCGGGGCCAGCAGATCTCAGAATTTAAGAATGGGGGGCTGAGAGCCCTCTGCCCCAGAAGAACGCTCCTCACATCTTGTTCCAGAGGTGAAGTGGTAAAGCTGGAAGGGACTGCAGAGGGCTTTGGAACGACCACTCCTCATTTCAGGCAGGAGCAGGGCCCGGCGCCGGCCCCCTCCCGGTGCCTTTCTAGTAACGTTACGCCTGCTTCCACGTGGGTGCTGGTTGTGCTAGTCTCAGTACGTAGCAGAGCGGTTATCCTTTTGGAAGGCACTCGGTCTGACATTCTGGATGCACTGCATCCCACCGGCCTGCCTGCCTCCTGTTCTCTGGGAAGAGAGGGGCCAGCGTGTGGAGCACTGGGGCTGTTTTCTTCTGTGCCCTGCCCTGGGGTCTCTATGCAAAACTGCCATTTACCCCCTGCCATTATTTGGGAAGCCAATCGGGAGAAAAGACAGCGGGTTTTCCTTACGCTCACCGACAGATTTTGCTGACCACGCATTCCACTTTGGCAGGTTCGACACAGAGGAAGAGGCTGTGGCCATCGCTAACGCGGCCGAGGTGGGGCTGGCAGGTAGGCGGTCCTCCTCACTCGGCGCCATGCTCACCGTTTCTCAAGCTGGTGCCACGCTTGCCTTTGAAACATCACCCTGGGTTTTGAGAAGGAGATGCCATTGGGGTGTATGTTTTGTTACTTTCCGGGGCACAAGTGGGTTTGTGCAAGTTCGTGGCCTGCCGCCTGGTCCTTCTGCGTTTGGGAGCTCCCTGCAGAGAGCGGAGGGAGTGCGGGAGAAGAGGGGGGGCAGCATGGGGGGCAGCCCACACCCCACAAGTGCCGCGTCCTCCGAGGCTTCCTGCCTGCAGATGCTGAGTCTGCCTTCTTCCATTCTACCTGGCTCCCGGCAGCCTGAACCAGACGGAGGGCAGCGGCAGAGTGTCAGGGGCGGTGAAAGAGGCAATGGGCGTGTGTGCAGACAGAGCCTGAGTGGTCACCGTCCCTTTAGTTTGGAGATGGTCAGGGCGGCCGCAGCACGTGCCCCATTACCCTGACATCATTACATGCACACACATGTACCCGACAAATCGACGTCAGTGCCCGCAGTGAGGGGAGTGCTGAGGAGGATACAGAAAAGGCCATGGCTCCGCAGAGGCTGCCCCTCTGGGTGTAAGAGAAGTATTTATAACAGGAGGAAGGACGCACACACCGTGGAGGCCCTTCCCCCACGCCGCCTGCAGAGAGTTATCCTAAGGCTTGGGTGAGAGGTGTGCGGGAGCGCCTCTGGGACACAGCGTCGTGCCCCTTCCCGTCGTGGTGGGACGAGGGGAACTGCACCCTGCATTAGGTCAGCAGCGACGGGCGGCGTTCTGATCATGCAGGGGTGGGAGGAGAGAGATTCTGGGCAGACGGGGCCTGGGGAGTTGAGAAGGAAGGAAGGGTAAGGACGGGGCGGCTGGTGACTGGCGGGATGGGAGGTAACGCTCAGAATGCTGCCCGAGTCCGCACCGGGGAGGGTTCGAGGACCCGCGAAGATTTAACCTTATTTTGTAAACAGCAGGGAGTCACCGGAGGGTGGGGCAAACGGCACGAGGAGAGGCCCACAGCGGGCGCCGAGGTGTGCGGGAGCCTGGGCCGCGCGCGGCAGGATGTGGGGAGGTTCCGGCTGCGGCCCTGGGGGGCGGTGGAGCGAGCCCCCGCGAGAGTGGGACAGAAGCCGAATGACGGTGTCCCACAGGTCGGTGATGAAGCATGGACAGGACCCGCGTGGGGCCCCTGTGGGAGCGGGGGGACTCCAGGCCTGTGGCGAGACACGCCGTCGCTGGTGGTATCCTCGGCTTCAGACATGAGGCCTTTCACGACTGTCCCACATGCTGTGCGTGTCCTTACCCCCGTGGCAGGTTATTTCTACTCTCAAGACCCGGCCCAGATCTGGAGAGTGGCAGAGCGGCTGGAAGTCGGTATGGTCGGCGTCAACGAGGGACTGATATCCTCTGTGGAGTGCCCTTTCGGTGGCGTGAAGCAGTCTGGCCTCGGGCGAGAGGGGTCCAAGTATGGCATTGATGAGTATCTGGAACTCAAATACGTGTGTTTCGGAGGCTTGTAGGATTCGTTAGTTCTTTAAAAAAATAAAAAGGGAAGCTTACTTACACATATGGGGACCTGCCATCCATTATTTTAAGTGAACGAATAGGTTATTGGAATTAGGAATTTTTAAGAACTCACCGAGTGCTCACCATCTCAAGCAGAGGTTGGGAACCCCCCCTCCCCTTACCTGACCAGGGACCAGCAGATGCCGCGTGCCTGTGGCAGCCACAGTCTCCCCAGGAACCTGCACGGCCCCGGGGTTGGGGGGACATCCCAAAGGCTCCATCACTGTCTGGGCACCTGGGCGGCGGCACAGCCATTCCCCCCCGTGGCTCCGAGCCCCAACCAGAGGTCTGCAGGGAAGAACCCTGAGCACGACGAGCGGGCACACCATCCCCGGCCCTCCGCCGGCTCAGCACTGCAGAGCCTGCCAGGTGTTTGGAGGTGTTGCCGCACAGGCTGAATCGATCAGTTTTCAAGATCTCCGAAACAGTCCCAAATTGCCTGTGTTTCTGTGAGGAATGAAGGAGCACCTTTCCCTTTTCCTGGACCTTTACTTTTTTTTTAGTTTATTTTTTTAGTCATCTCTACACCCAACATGGGGCTCGAACTCATGACCCCGAGATCAAGAGTCACGCACTCCACCGACTGAACCAGTCCAGTTCCCCTGGACCATTTTTTAAGTTGAAGGCTTCACCGTCCTAAATTTATTACTTAAAGGTGATGTTTTCATTTTCGTCCTGCATTCCACTTCATTGTGTTTCCTTTAGGAAATGAGCCTAAGCATAAAGCAAAGCCCCTCCCCTTGTTGGCTGTGGACGGCAGCTCCGTGCCCCTGTAGTAGCCTTGTTCAGTGGACCTGCCGTTCAGCACCCGTTCCTCCCGCAGACTGGAGATTCCGTATATGCCTCACTTAGCTCAATGGGCTCTTGTGAGCCTGACAGAAAGCGAAATACTTGCCAAAACAGAAAAAAAGAAAAGGAAGAAAATCTGGTATAAGTACAGGAGCTATTAATACTAGTAGCAACAAAGCCCCCCTTGGGCATCCAGCTGGTGAGGAAGGCGGGTGCCCACCTGCTCTCCCCCCCTGGGACGAAGCGGTTGTCACCTGCAGCCTGCTCTTCCTGCCCTCATGGGGTGCTGCACTCCTTCGCCTCCAGAAGAACAAACACAGTCTCTTGAGAGGAAAACCAATTCCCATAATGGCCAATTCACCTAATGGAAGAGGCAGGAGACCTTGAATGTCAAGCACCCTTTATCCAATAAGAGTTTTTACGGTTCGTTATTTAAAGCAAAAAATGACCGGTGTCTCCTATCTCTCTGAAAGAGGAACTCTGATTCAGAAAATCTAGGCTTTTCTGGACATGTCTCCCATCTGTACTCAGACACTGAGGAAAAGGAATCAAGGCTGTTCCTGACTGAGTAAGCGGAGATAAAGCTCTTTCCTTTTCCACTCTCTCTGTGTGTGGAATCCACTGACATTCCGGGGATATTCTGGGTAGTGGAAGGAGAGCCTGAGGGCAGTTCCTGCCACCCCCTGGGACTTAGCATTCTTCCCTACGCCCCTGGGGAGCCAAGGTTAAGTCACTAGCAGTCTGGAATGCCCGTGGGCACAGAGGAACTCACCTCCGATCCTGGAGCTACCTTCTGTTAGCCTGGATCGAACCAGCTGTATCCCGATACCCACAGAAGAAATGAGCTGACATCCACCTCCTGGTGACATATCTCACCTACACCCTGTTAGGAATCACATATGCAGCATATTGTCAGTTTATTTCTTTTTGTTTTTATAGTTTTCGGTGGTTTTCTACATTCTAATTACTGAAGATTTGGATGTGTCCATCTGGTTTCTCTTAATAAACATGCTATAACATCATTTGTTAGAAGTGTGGAACACTGAAGCTGGGAGGCGTTAGGAGAATACATTCGCGTATGTGGGTAACTTTGTAAGCCAGTGGATTCCTTGGCTGGGTGGCAGATTTGAGTTTTCTTGTCTGTTTGGCTCACCCGGTACATAAATTCAGATCCAGAGACTCACTGCAATATCTTCGATTAATTTTGTATTTAAAATGATTTGAGACGGAAATAGGTTACTGTTTAGTAAAACTGTTGTGGGTTGTGGGAAGAAAGAAAAGTGTCTCTAACTGAACATTTCAGGGGGTTATTTCTCAATAAGGTAATCCTATGTGATTGGGTTGCCAGGGGTTGGCAAACTACAGCCCACAAGCCAAATCTGGCCTGCAGCCTGTTTCTGTGCAGCCCAGAGCATTAAGAATGGTTTTGTATTTCCAAATGATTGGAAGGGGGGTCAAAAGGGTATTTCATAACACAAAATTACAGGAAATTCAGATTTCAGATTCCATCAGTGAAAGTTCATTGAAACACAGCCATGCCCATTCATTTAACATTGGATCCACGGCTACTTTCTAGGTAGAGCTGAGTACTGGCAACATGGACTCAGTATGGCCTGCAAAGCCTACAGTATTGGCTCTGACTGAAAAAGTTTGCCAACCCCTGATCTAGAGCTACTGATGCTGAGGGAGATACTGATCTTCCTGCATTTATCAGGCATTTTATTTCACTGAACACCCTGTGTAAAAAGTACTTTTCTGGGCATTGCTCCAACGAGTTCTCACCAAGATCTTGCTGCAGCAATGATCGTAGGACTCAGATGAAATTACCCGGATAACAAGACTGTGTTGGCCTAGAGAAAACTTCTCAATTTACTTTTCCCAGCTAGGCAGGGTTTTGCATTGAAATAGCTTATCTGAATCTGTTGTATTTATCCCTTTGAGTGGCTTTCAAACATGATTTTATGTCAAGTGTTGTATTCTTTTCTCCTTTATTCTTATGGAAAGACTTCATGAAAATAAACATCAGAAGCACAATGCAAATAAATCTGATTTTACTGTTATACTGTTAACTTTAGATTGTGCCACAGGCCTGCCTTCTCAGAAGGCTGGAACCCAGCGTTTTAATTATTCATGTGCAGCTATGTTAGATAGCATTTTACTTGAGTAATATTTATGCTGTGATTTTTGTGTGTGTGCTGTGTTTTGTAGGATAAAACTTGGGAATAAGTAGTGGGAAGTGTGGAAACATTTTGTTTTTTAAATGTGCACAGAACTCATTTTTCCAGTTTTTGATAACTGTTGTACGTGTATCAGTGCTCGTCAGCAGAGCTGTGTGTAATTAATAAATGTTGCGTTAACAGAATTTCCTGTTTCTGTGTTAAGGTTTCTGGTTGTGGTTATCGCCAGTTCATCATTTCAGTTTATATTGGATATTATTAGACCAGTTCAGATATGTATGAAGAATAGCAGTATGCCATCGCAAAATATGCTGCTTTGATGTAACAATTATTGTGAGCTGAAGATGTCTTAAAAGAAGCAGATACCAGAAAAGCTGTCTGCCCTCCTATTTTCTTAAAAGCAGGACCTAAGTTTACAAAGGTGCCCCCACCCCTGCAGTAGGAAGGATAAAGGTTGATCCCCAGAGACAACTCTAGATCCTGTCGGCCTGGAAAGGGCACCAAAGGAATCTACGTAACAAATTTTACCAACTAGCTTTTGTCTCTACCCTTGAAAGCCTACAACTGCTTTCCTCTGTCCTGTCATTTCTCCACAAATGTATTGCTTTTTGTTGAGGATGCTATGTAAGCCAGAGTTTTAAGCCACCTCTTTCGAGTTCCTCATTCTTCCCTGGGTATCTCCCATGTATACATGAGGCATACATGTTAATAAACTTGCTTTTCTCTTTCTTCCTCTAGCTTTTATTTCAGAGGTCTCAGCCAAGAACTCAGAAGGGTAGAAGGAAAATTATTTTTCTTCCCCTGCAGGTGTAATAGTGCTCCCTCCCTAGAGAGCTTCTAGTCAGTGAACATGGTGGACCAGGAGCATGCATGTGAAATTTTGTACCCTAGCATCTTCACGAGGATCTGTCCCGTGGTTTGTGCTCACTGAATGTTTGCTGAACCAGACTGAAAATTTACATGGTTTATAAGTGTGGCTGTGTGAGAAAGTATACTCCAGCTTTCTCAAATTTGCCAGTCTCTTCTACTCACTCTACTGTTACCCATTACGTACTTTTCCTCAAGTTTGGGCTTTTCTGATACAGAGAAGTACGAGGAAGAAATTCCCTGAATCCTCTATTCAGATATAATCACTGTTAATTATTTTAACAGTGTATCTTATATTTTCACCCAGTGCTTATTGCTTTTTAAGAAATTTCATGTGGCCTCATTGAATCTGACATTGAACAAAAGTAAGTTTTTCATTGGAAGAAAGAGCAGTGCCACTGGGTATGTGTCTCCCTTTGTCATTCCACTGAGTTCATGCATTTCTTTTCACCTGCTTTGGTTTTTTAAAAAATGAACATATGGGGGCGCCTGAGTGGCTCAGTTGGTTAAACGACTGCCTTTGGCTAGGGTCATGATCCCGGGGTCCTGGGATCGAGTCCCACATCGGGCTCCCCGCTCGGCTGGAAGCCTGCTTCTCCCTCTCCTATTCCCTCTATTTGTGTTCCCCCTCACGCTGTCTTTCTCTGTCAATTAAATAAATAAATAAAATCTTTAAAAAATGAACATATGGTTAAGTATTTTATTTAACTCATTAATGAGGAAGCTTGTAAGGGTATTATAACCAGTTGAAAGGATAAGCCAAAAACTCCCACAAATTTTGTATGGATGAGAAACCTTGAAATGAACGTGCAAATGGAAGTACACTAGCTTCTTCCATACGTGGGAGGGAAGTCAGTCAGACTCCCAAGACGCCAGAATTTGCATTTTGCACCACTCTTCTCTACAATGGTACAGGGTCAGAAAATGCCTCAGGGGCACTGAATGCGGGAATCAGAGAGCCCAGGAAGGCCTGCTATGTGTAGACAATGCTTAGTGTTCCACTGAACCTGCTTTTGATTTTTAAAATTACTTTATTACCAGGAGAAATTACCCACTTACCTCTCAGTTTGGGGGTTCTTTACATCCTTGGCCTAGGCCTCTGCTTAAAAGCAAGTGTTACTTTCATCTTCTATTTCTTCCATTCTCTATCAGTAAATGTAAATGCTACAGCTTCTTTCTATTTTAGCAACAAATTAAAAAGCAAATCAGTGTGGTTTTCATTGATGAAGTCTGGGAAAACTTTCTGGAAAAATAGCAGGCCCTGCTTCATCTAAGAGTGTTGAAAGGCTACCAGCATATTCTATTTGCATGTGCTATTTATAAATGAATGGAAATGGGTTTGGAAGTTGGCAGTCTGAAGATTTACTTACCATCCATCCATTTTATCAGCTAACTAGGAAGGACTCGCCACAGTGTAGGCCATGAACAATCCCCCGTCCCGGTGATTCAGGAGACATGGACGTTTTTGCAGGTGTTGTGTCAGATTAGGTAAGACTGCGTGCTTTCCTCCGGTTGTGCTAAGACCTCAGGCCTGCAACTCTGGGCTCATCACCTTGGGACAGAGGTGATAATACTAAGTAGGCTTCAAATACAGGAAATTTGGCCATTCCCTAAACTCATCTCAAATAGGGAGACTGTTTAGTTGGAGAAATGCTGGTTGTTGTTGTTGCTGACTTTAACAGAAGATCTTTTAGGATTTCACTGTTAATCACGAATCTGGCTATTTCCCCTCCACATCTTTCAACTTTTTATTTTGAAGTAATTATAAACTCATGGGAGGTTGCAAAAGTAGTACATTCTGCTATACCTCCCACCCATTTTCCCCCAGTAGTTACCATCTTACATAACTAATATCAGGGAACTGACATAAGTATCATACTGTTAATACAGGCCTTCTGGCAGTTTCCCCAGTTTCTTGTACACTCATTTATGTGAATGTGTGTGTTACCCAACTTAATTCCATCGGTAGGAAGGTTTGTGTCATCACCGCCACAATCAAGATACAGAATTGTATCTGTAATTGTAACTGTATCCACCACCACCAAAGAAATCCCTCGAGCTAGCCCTTTATACTCAGCTTTGGAAGTAAAATCATTTGGCAAGGTTTCTTATTCTTGGGTGAGGGGCATGAAGGAGGACACATGATGTAATGAGCACTGGGTGTTATATGCAACTGATGAATCACTAGATTCTACCCCTGCAACTAATAATACAGTCTATGTTAACTAAATTGAATTTAAAAAAAATTTTTTTTAATTTCGTTCAGTGTAACATGCATGCCAAAAAGTGTACAGAAGTGAACAACTTGCTTAATCTTCACAAGCTGAGCATACCCTGTGACCAGCACCCAGAGCAAGAAACAGAACACTGCAAGTCCCTACCTGTGCCCCTGTTGGAATGACTACTTTTGTTTGGTTTTTAAAGATTTCTTTATTTATTTTGGAGAGAGAAAGAGAGCAGGCATGCAAGGGGAGGAGGGGCAGAGAGAGACAGAAGTGCCGGGCTGTGGGGCTGGGCTGGTTCTGAGAAGGGCCAGGAAGTGGATATTTGGGGTTGGGACGGGCCCTGCAGACCGCTCCTCTGCCATCCCCCAAGCAGGAGCGAGGGGCGCGCCTTCCATCACGGCTGTCTTGGTGCACCCTGAAATCCCAACTCCACTGAAGTCTCACAACAGCCTCATGATTTCCTGAACCATTTGGAAACGTGAAAACCACCGTGGGCTCATAGGCCGCACAAAACAGGTAGAGCCAGCTTGCCGACTCCCACCCCAGGGAAGGCCCTCGCCCAAAGCAAGAAGTACTCCCCTGCTCCGACACAGCGTTACGGAAATACAGACGCCTTTATTTAGACTGGCCATGTCTCATACGTGCTGTCCTACAAGTAAGAGCTGGTCAGACCTGGGAAATATCACAGGGCGGCCCGGGGCAGCTGGGACCCTCTGCCCCCAGGCTGGGGCGCCTCCTGCGCCGTGCGGCTTTCCGCTGCATTCTTCCACGACTGGCCTCAGTACCCAAGTCACATCCCCCTTGCACTGACTGGAAGGGTCTACTGGAAGGGTCTCGTGGGCGGGCTTCTCCCTCGAGCAGCTGGAGAACCTTCCCTCCACTGGCCCTGGGGGAGTTTCTGCCCTGGATGGTGGACAGAAGGCAGTTCTTCCTCACCCTGAGCTCTGCCCCGCCCGGGGCCCAGGTACCCAGGGCGAACCGCCTCCTGGTGCACCTGAGGTCAAGGTGCACCGGTGGGGGAAGAGAGGCCAGGGGAGGTGGAAGCAGCCCTCCGAAACCAGAGCGCTGCCGCAGGGTGTAATTCCGCAGGAGGGACGAGGGAGGCTTCTCTGCGTCCTGTGTTCTCTCCACCGTCTGAAGGAAGTCCCCTGGGTCCCAGGAACAAATGGTCCAAAGGCCATCCAGAATCTGCTGTCCAACAGCTGAGGGTGGGCGTTCTCTGTATAGTAAGGGAGGAGGGTGGAAAGCATGGGCTTCACAGCTTAAAAAATGTGCATTCCGGGGACGCCTGGGTGGCTCAGTTGATTAAGCGACTGCTTTCGGCTCAGGTCATGATCCTGGAGTCCCAGGATCGAGTCCCGCATCGGGCTCCCTGCTCAGCGGGGAGTCTGCTTCTTCCTCTGACCTTCTCTCCTCTCTTGTACTCTCTCTCTCATTCTCTCTCTCAAATAAATAAAAAAAAAAAATGTGCATTCCGTTCGCAGATCTAGCACTCTTGGGCTGTGACCTTGCACAAGTTGCTTAACCTCTCTGAGACTCCAGGTCGTTCTCTGCCACAGGAGAATAATATCTCCTTTTCCAGGCTGACTGGAAGGACCAGTGGGGTATATATAAAACATGTATTATGCGCATAAAGCACTTAACAAACGTTCACTCTCTTCTTCATTGCACTCCATCCGCCTCCTGTTCTACATTCCTCAAAGCCAGAAATTTCTGGTTGTACACAAAACAACATAATTCTGTTCACTGGGTATGCGAGAGATTAAGTTTATGAAGATAAATACTGGTGTAGAAAACATCACATCTTCCTTCTAACATCACAGATAGCAGACTGAACTGACTAGCAATACAGAAAGTGGAGGCATAAGCAAATTATTTAAAAAAAATAAAATTATAGTCTTATATACTTTTTAGTTCTGCCGTTCCCCAGAAAGTACAAAAATTGAAAACAAGATGATCTCATAAGGATGAATATGACCAGACAGAACAAAAGCATGTGCAAGCTTAATTTTGTTCAGGGACCCACAGGAACTATTTTCTCCCTTGTTCCCGTCCTGATGGTTTAAACCTGATGGTTTAATCCTCTTGCTTTT